GGGCATCGACGAGGCAAAATCCATGAAACAGCACAGCGAGACGTTTCTCAACGTCGCCAACCCGTTGGGTTTCAGTACTTTGTGCGTGTCGGGGCCGCGCGGAACGGCTGAAACTCGTCGTCGTCCAAGCGGCCGACGATCGCTCTCTCGTCAGCTGTGCGCGGTGTTGTGCGAGGGAGTTTGCTTGTAAAATTCTTTCACCTTTTCTTTTCTTCAGATGAGGCCACGGGTCCTGAGGCGGGCGAGGCGGTGCTCATCGCGTGCGCAGCGAATGCAGGGGCGGCTGAGTGCGAGTCCTCTCGAGTGCTGGCTGGAGCACGGGGGGTTGGTGGGCGTGTGGTGAACGTGTGGTGAACGTGTGGTGGGCGTGTGGTGGGCGTGTGGTGGGCGTGTGGTGGGCGTGTCGTTGGCATCGTAGGCGTTCTCTCGGGGGCGCGGGAAGGTGAGGGAAGAATGACAGAGAGAGGAGGTAGAGGGGAGGACGAGAGGGCGAGGGGAGTTGAGAAGGAGGAGGAGAGGAGGAGGAGGAGAGGAGGGGAGGAGGAGGAGGAGGAGAAGAGGAGGGGAGGAGGAGGAGAGGCGAAGAGGAGGAGAGGAGGAGAAAGGAGAGGAGGGGAGAGGGGGAGAGGGGGAGAGGAGGGGGAGTGCAGGGTTGCTGCGCCTTTTTTATGATTGAGTCGACGCACGAGACAGAGACGAGGGTGCCGCTCGGGCGGAGGAATGCGGCGGGGTTGGTGTTGGAGAGGGCCTTCTTCGAGAGCGGGCAGATGTACCTGGCACCCCGGGCCGGGCCTCGGGGCATGGAGGGCGGCGGCCTCGCTGCGCCTCTCGCTGAGCGGCGGTGCGTCTCGGCGGTGCGTCTCTTAGGGGGAGATGCGGGGAGATGCGGGGAGATGCGGCCACCATTTTTTCTTTTTCTGAGCGCAGTAAAATTCTTTTTCTCGTGATGTCTGTTTGTCGCGCCGCTCGCCGCCTCGCCCCCGCCTCCACCGCCGCCGCCTCGCCCGACACGCCGCCGCCAACCCTCCTCGACCTCCCCACGGAGCTCATCGTGCGCGCCCTCTCTCGCTGCGACCCCGCCGACATCGCTCGCGTCGCGGCCGTCTCGCTGCTCTTTCACGACTCGCTCGCGGAGGAGGCCATCCGCTTGTGGGCGCAAGAGCGCGGCTTCGAGCTGCCGGCGCTGCCAGAGGGCGAGGGCTGTGCCGTGCGGTGGCTGTGCTGGTCGGCGCTGCTGCGCGAGTCCAACCCGCCGGCGAGGGCGGCGGCAGGCAACTTCCACAGCCTCTTCATCGACGGCGAGGGGTGGCTCTCGTCGTGCGGCGGGTTGCCGCCCATCTTTCCAGGGCTACTAGGTCACGGCGAAGACGTGACGCGGCTGAATACGCCGACCCGCCTCCCTCCGCTGGGCGGCGAGCGCGCCGTGAGCGTGTCGGCTGGAGACACCCACAGCCTCGCCCTCGCCGCCGACGGTGCCGTCTGGAGCTGGGGCCGTGGAGGCGACGGCCGGTTGGGCCACGGCGACACGCAATGCCAGCTGCTACCCAAGAAGGTCGAGGCCTTGGTTGACCAGCGCGTCGTCGCTGTGTCGGCTGGAGGTCTGCACAGCCTCGCAATGACCGCCGATGGAGAGGTCTGGAGCTGGGGCGGTGGAAGCTTTGGCAAGCTGGGCCACGGCGATGAGCAGCTCCAGTTGCATCCAAAGAAGATCGAGGCCTTGGCTGGCCAGCGTGTCGTTGCTGTGTCTGCTGGAGCCGACCACAGCATCGCCCTCACCGCCGACGGCGCTGTCTGGAGCTGGGGCTACGGAGACCAAGTCCGGTTAGGCCACGGCGACGAGCAGCGCCAGCTGCTGCCGAAGAAGATCGAGGCCTTCGCTGGGCGGCGCGTGGTCGCTGTGTCGGCGGGATGCTACCACAGCCTCGCCATCACCTCCAACGGCGCCGTCTGGAGCTGGGGCAGTGGAGCCCTTGGCCAGCTGGGCCACGGCGACGAGCAGAGCCAGTGGCTGCCAAAGAAGGTCGAGGCCTTGGCGGGGCGGCGCGTGATCGCTGTGCTGGTTGGAAGCGGCCACAGCCTCGCAATCACCACCGACGGCGGCCTCTGGAGCTGGGGCCAGGGAGGCTTTGGCAAGCTGGGCCACGGCGACCAGCAGGAGCAGCAGCTGCCCAAGAAGGTTGAGGCCTTGGTCGGGCGGCGCGTCGTCGCTGTGTCGGCTGGAACCAGCCACAGCCTCGCCGTCACCGCCGAAAACGCTGTCTTTGCCTGGGGCGAGGGCGAGACCGGCTGCCTAGGCCACGGAGAGGACCTGTCGAACCAGCTGCTGCCCAAGAAGATCGACGTGTGGGCGCGGGAATAGGCGCCTCCTCCCGCATCTGTACTCGCGCCGGTCAGGCTCAATAGGTGGATGAGCATGGCTGCGAGCTTCTAAAGCATGTGGCGAGAGATGTAGGATGTTAAGGAAACAAAAAAACGCTAGATGTCTACGTCTCAATATCCGCCGAGGAAACGTTGGGAAGAGGCACGAGGAGGGCGGCGACCTCGACCGACTATGGAGGACCCGTCACCAGACGACGCAGGGCAGACGACGGGGAGGCGGAGCAGACGCGCAGGGCGAGACGAGGGAGGGAGCAGGATGTTGCTGAGATCAGCAGGAGGATGTACGACGAGATTAGGAGCAGCAGGGACCCGAGGGACCATGTGGAAGATACGGCTAGTGCTAGTCCCCCATCGGGAGGACGACCCCGGCTAGTCGCCGACCATACACCCACAAAGAACCCTGCACAAAGACCGCAGGGCGGGGACCTGTTCCTTTTTACCCATCTCCTAGTAGAGGTGTCCGTTTTATTTATTTATTTACGTCTGAATATGTTAACAAGAGAGTTGTGTATGTCGGTGAAAAAACTCTCACCCTCTGCTCCCCCTCCTCACCACGCCCGCGTCGCTCCCCTTCTCCGCAAAAGCCTCGAGGAGGCGCAGCACCTTCTCGCCCTGCATCTCAAGCGCCGAGATGCGCTCGATCGCCTCGCCAATCCGCTCCTTCTCCTCCTCAGCGCTCTTGAGCAGGGGGAGAGTGATAATAGGGGTGCTGAGGTGGAGGCTGGGTGGAGGTGATTCTCCGGGTCAGTCTGGAGGTCATTCTCCACAATCTCCTGCGACAGTGGGCCTCGGTATCCTAGATGTTTTCAGCCCAAGTCCCAATACACAAAATACAGACTTCCCATCTAGGGTCCAGCCGACACAGCGCGAGCGACGACGCGCCGCCCAGCGAAGGCCTCGACCTTCTTGCACGTGTAAGTGACGCCGCACACGTCGAACGAAGCCGGCATGTGTCCGCCCTGCGTTGTTGAAGGCTATATCACACACAACACACACACACACACACACACACACACACACACACACACACACACACACACACACACACACACACACACACACACACACACACACACACACACACACACACGGACAGTTCATAAAAAATCGGACGGCGAGGGGGGCGGAAGGGCCCCCCGGGCGTGTCACATCCAGACCGAAACACAAGATTGCAGCCTTCGATTGGGCAGGTGCGCCGCCTTTCCCCTCGCCTCGCCGCCTCGCCCAGCGCGACGCGGCGCGAGTTTAGTGCTGGTCGCGCGCAAAGCGCTGCCGCTTCGCCCACAACCAAAGACTGCAGCGAGCCCGCGTCAGCTGCCCGCCGTGCTGCGACCGCCGCGAGAGCGGCTCGTTCCGAGGCTCGAGCGACGCGAATCTGGAACAGTCGTATCGCGGGTGGAGCGCTGCCGCGCGCGCGGCCGGGTCGCCTCCATGCCTACTTCGCTCCCGCCCAAAAGGAGCCCGCACCCTGCTCATCCCGTTTTATGCTGCGGACGCTCGCCCGCCGCCGCCTGCGCCCTCGCAGATCCAAACCAACGTGAGCGAGGCGGGCGTGCCGCGGTGGATCCTTGGTGCTGAGCCTCAAGCTGCGTGCGCTGCGAGTAGGTGCGGCCCTCCTGAGCCTGCGACTAGCGAGCGAGATGCCCGGGATTACCCGAGATCGCTTCGAGACGCTATGGCACTTGCGCACTCTAGCACTCACCCTGATCCTCCGTATCTCATCAGCCGAGATTGCCCGAGATCACATCATCAAATCGTTGATTTAATGCCGAGTCCCCAGATTCGTCCAACAGGTCTAGTCTTCGTGCAGATGATAGCAGCGCGGATCGTGATAGAGATGGACGACGGCATTGGCGACGATAGAGTTGCGACGGTGGTTCCGGAAGTTCCAGTTCCAGAAGCGGTTCCAGCGATTCCAGACGACATTCTTCGCTTGATAATGCAATTCAAGCATGCGAACTTCAAAAAGAGGTACGCTGCGGAACATTGGCCCCGAAGGATGCAAATGTTGGCAAGGAAAGAAGCGGAAAGGTTAAAACATGAGCAGAAGCGGGCCATTTGCCAGATGAAGTGCGCTTGTGTCTGGTTCATTGTCGCCTGTGGTGTCGTTCTCGCACTGTTCCTCTGTGGGTGTTAGCGTTGTTTGGTATTGACTCTCTCTATACTCGAGAATATTCCTCATATGAGGGGTTTTGACTCCCGGCTCCTGACGCTATCCCTGGCAGCTCTAATGACCAGGATCAGTAGTGTTGTGATAGAGTCTCGCCCATACTAGCGCAGGAGCTGCCACGCTCGCCCGGACCGTCCCCTTCTGGGGCCGGTTCCGCAGCCCGCGAGAGCCGACAGCGGGGCCGTGCCGCGGGTGCCTACTGCCGAGTGCCACAAACACTGCGCCATCCCGCCATCACCTTACAGGCTGTCTTGTGACTTGTGAGTTGTGTGATGGTTGGGATGTCCAAACGCCACCACCTTAGCTCTTGCGACCTCAAACCCGCGAGCTGTATGGGTGGTCCTGACGTCGACACTGTTGTCCCTTATACTCGTGCAACAACCCGGTGGGGAAGGGTCCCGGGTCCCAGGCGCCATGGACCACACCCGGGAGGCGGGACTTGGGACATGGGATGGTAGAGGACTGGGGGATAGTCGAGAATAACGCGCCCGGACAGCCCACCGGACCCATCGGGTGGCTCGCATACCGGTACCATACCGCCCTTGAGGCCACCAACCCTGCCGGTATGCTCGTCTCGACCCTGCTTGCCGAGGCGCTGCTGGCCCGCCCGGCATGGCCGGCGCCGGCTGGCACCCGCACCGCCCGCGCCGGATGCGCGCCGACCGCGCGCCTCTTCTCCGAGGAGTGGATGGGTCGGCTCGGCACCGCGACCGCCTCCAAGGCGAAGCGCGCAGAGCGGCTGCCGGCGTCGGCACTGGCGCCCGGCTGCGTGCTGGTGGCGGAGCCGGGCTCGTTCGACCACTACTTTCTCGAGTCGCTCGTCCTCCTCCTCGAGCACGGCCCCGCCGGCAGCCGCGGCGTGCTGCTCAACCACGAGACTCCGTGGCAGGTCAGCCACGATGGATAGGAGGCGACCGAGACACGACCCGGGCGCGGTTTGGAAAGGCCGCTCAGCGATGGGCACAGAGCGGCCACGCGCTGGAGCGACACACGCGACACACAGACGCACAGACAAGACCACCTCTTCCAGCAGCGCTGCCAAGAAAGCGTCGCGGACGCAGCGCTCGATTTGCAGAGGTCTCTCTGTCTTCGGCCCGTCCTGAAACCGTGCTCCTCCTGTGGCAGGTGGACGAGATGGGGCCCGCGGCAGCCCTCGGCCCGTTCGCCGCCAACCCGCTCTTCCTGGGCGGCGACGCGGGCGCGGACACGATGGTGGTGGTGGTGGTGGTGCAATAAAGGCGCCTCTGCCGACCCAGGAACCTCTGAGGCCTAGGCGCAGACACGATGGTGATGGTGCATGGCGAGGCGCACCTTCCGGGCGCCCGCGAGGTCGGGCGAGGTGTCCATGTCGGCGGCGTGGCGGCGGCGGTGCGGGCATGGTGGGGGCGGGCCCACCCCCTCTCAGGTTGAGTGGTCCGTGATCTGCTCTCTGCCTGATTCAACCGGCCAGGTGCGCGCGGTGGAGGAGGGCGCGCTGCCCACGTCTCGGTTCAAGTTCTTCTACAAGAGCGTCGAGTTTCTGCCCGGGGCCCTCGACGCGCAGGTGGCGGACGACCTCTTCTCCCTGGCTGCTCTGTCGCCCGCCTGGTTGTACGGCCAGGCAGGGCAGCGGTCGATGTGGGCAGAGGTGCGGCCAGATACACAGACACAGACACACACACACACACACACACACACACACACACACACACACACACACACACACACACACACACACACACACACACACACACACACACACACACACACACACACACACACACCGCTCACCCACGCGCACTGGGCCTTGCACTTTGGATGCCGTGGGGCGCTCCTGCCTGTCTAGATGTGGAGTCGCGAGGGTCGCCTGGCCCTTGCCCCACCACCTCGTGTGTGTGGAGAAGCTTCCCTTCCTTCCCTTCCCTTCCCTTCCCTTAGGTGAGGCAGGCAATCTCCGAGAGCTCGGGGCCGGGCAGCGGCGGCGGCGGAAGCGGGGGGGAGTGGGCAGGGGGCGGGGGCATGCCCGCCGAACAGGCGCGCTGCTGCTGTTACGTCTTCGGTCCCCGCGGGAAGCCCCGCGCATAGGACAACAACGTCTGTCCCACACACGCACAGGCGCGCACATACGTCATGCTCGGGCACCCCCCACAGTGTAGTGGTGTGAGCACACAAGTACTAGCAGAGTGCGAGCAGGCGCGCGCGCGGGCAAAGCACGACGACGAGCTCAAGGCGTACGTGGCGACGCTGCAGGCGGAGGCGGCGGCGGAGGAGGCGGCAGCGGCCGCCAAGGCGGCGGCGGAGGCGGCGTTTGCGGCGGAGGCGGCGCCGCCGAGTGCCGCGGCGGCGGAGGTGGCGGCGGCGGAGGTGGTGCCGGCGGAGGTGGTGCCGGCGGAGGAGGCGACGGCGGCGGCGACGGAGGCGGCGGCAGCGGCGGGGGAGGGGGAGGCGGGGGAGGGGGAGGCTGCGGCGGCGGCGGCGACAGAGTGGCTTGCGGCGCGTGGAATCGTCGCGCCCCCCGCCAAGCAAACACGCGAGAGCGGGGGCGGCGAGGGCGGCGAGGGCGGCGAGGGCGGTGAGGGCGGCGAGGGCGGCGAGGGCGGCGAGGGCGGCGAGGGCGCACAGGGTTCGAGCGCGTCGCAGCTGGCGGAGGTGCTTGAGTACCGGCGCTACATGGGGAACGATCAGTGGCGGGTGCGGTGGCGCGGCGACGGGGGCGAGGGCCATGGGCGGAGGGACGCGTGCCGGCGGCGTCCTCCTTCTTGAGACTCGCATCGTTCTCCCCGCAGGCGAGAGCTGGGAGCGGTGGGCGGTCCTCGACGGCGAGGCGCTGCGGGAGCGGGCGGCGGCGCTGAGGGAAGAGCGGCGCGGGTAGAGTCAGGCTCAGCGTCAAAAAGATAGTGGACCGACGAGCGTGCTCGCAAGAGCCGTGCTCAGTTTTATACGTCCGGCTGTTGACTGTTGGTGTTGCAAACACACGTGCGCGGCTAGCCACGCTGGCTCCCAACGGTCGCCCTCAAGCTCAACCGCTCTCCCTCCCGCTGAAGCGAGACCCTGCGCCCACGCCCCACCCCACGTGCCACGAGCCGTCGACGCGCGTCGGCGGCGATGAATACGCGCAGATCTCAGACTCTCGTGTCCTCCTCGTCGCGCCGCCTCGGCTTGCCGCCAAAGCAGCCGCACGACGCCATCAGGTTGAAGGCCCACGCAACCTTGCACAGCACAAAAGACAGGATGAGGACTGACGGAGGGAGGCCGTGCTGCAGGCTCCACGCGGCGAGGAACGCGGTCAGGCCGATCAGCGACCAGTAGGTGACTGCGATCCACCGCCGCGCCGGCCCGCTGCAGAGGGTGTTCCCGCAGTACTTTCGCGGCCCAAAGAAGAAGACCATGGCCTGGATGCCTACGTGTTCAATACGCCAGCCTTAGGGCGGGAAGACGGTACTGTGCAGCGTTCTCAGAGCACCGTACAGTGAATACGGCGGACTACAGCGGACTACAGCGGAGTACGTGTCTCTCGAGCGCTGCTGCTTGGGATACAAGAACACGTATTCCGCTTCTAGGACAGGATGCCCGCCACTGCACCGATGGCGAAGACGACCAGGAAGGCCTCCACGCCGACCAGCGAGAGAAAGACGACGTCGAGGATCGCGCAGAGAGCGGAGACGCACACGCAGGTCATCATCCCAAACCACGGGTCGACGCCGCAGCAGCGGTCGCGCCTCGGCTCCGCCTCTGCCTCGGCCTTCCGCCCCGGCTGCCGCTGCTGCGGCTGCGGCGGCGGCTGAAGCGCTCGCGCACTCCCACTCTCCCGCGCTGCGGTGCCGCGACCGCGAGCGGCGCCCAGCTGCTGACTGCTGCGACCGAGGGCGGCGCTCCTTGCCCGGTCGAGCGCCGCCCGCGAGCCACTCGAGCTCCGGGCGCGCTCGAGCGCGGCGGCGGACCGCGCAGACGGCGCCGACGCCATCTCCGTTGTGCGCTGCGACTGCGGTGCTGCCCACGCTGGCAGCTGCGGCTCTGGCGCCGGCTCGCGCGCCGGTGGCGCCGGCTGCGGCTCTGGCGCCGGCGGCTCTGGTGCCGGCTGCAGCTGCGCCGACGACGCTTGGCGGAGCGAGGACCACTCGCTAGCGGCTGCTTCACCGGTGGCCGCGTTGCTGGTCTTGCGAGGCATCAGAGAGAGTCTCTGAACCTGAGGCTGTCCACAAGTAGAGCACCGCTTCCCTCGCGGCAATGGGCGAAAGAAAAATATCAGGGAAAAAAGAAGCAGGTTCCGCTCGGAACCTAGGCTGTCCACAAGTAGAGCACCTGCAATGGGCGGCAAGAAAAAATCCGGCTTCGATGATTAAGAAGAAAAAGAAGCGAGACGTTGCGCTGGCGCTCTCTCTGCTCCCTGCCAACCCCAGCCCCGCCACCGCACACCGACTCTTTCGCGGCCCCGGTCCGGCGCATTCGCCGATGGACGACGCCGCCCTCATGGACCTCGCCCTCTCGGAGGCCGCGGCCGCCCTCGAGGCGGGCGAGGTACCTGTCGGCTGCGTCTTTGCGCACCCGGCGCGCGGTGTCATCGGCAGAGGCCGCAACAACACCGTGGCGTCGCGGAACGGCACGCGGCACGCCGAGCTCGAGGCGATCGACCGGATGCTCGACGTCGACGGCGTGCCGCCCGAGTCGGTCGCCGAGTGCACGCTGTACGTCACCGTCGAGCCGTGCCTGATGTGCGCGTCGGCGCTGCGGCAGCTGCGCGTGTCGCGCGTGGTGTTCGGCGCGGCGAACGACAAGTTTGGCGGCTGCGGCTCCGTCCTCTCCCTGCACGCCGACGACGGAGCGAGCGCCGCTGGCGACCCGCCCTACCCCGCCGTGGGCGGCGTGAGGAAGGCAGAGGCGGTGGCGCTGCTGCGGCTCTTTTACGCGCAGGAGAACCAGAATGCGCCGCAGCCGCAGAAGCGCACGCGCAAGCAGCTCGAGCTCGGCGCCGAGGCGGCGAGGGAAACGCAGCACCTGCCCGGGAGCGAGCGAGGAGGGAGAGAACCAGACTCGTAGTGTGCCTCGCGATTGTGCTTTTCACTGCTGTGCACAGGTTTTATGTGCAAAATTGTGGACGGAGAAACACTGTAAAGCCGTCAGGGTGGCGTGCGCCGCTCTAGCACACGCTCGGGCCTCTTGCTCGGGCCTCTTGCTGCTTTTGGCCTAGTAAAAAGTACCCAGCACCAGGGGTGTGAATGGGAGGTGCACACGCCTCACGCGCACGCGGCACGGCTGCGCTCCCACGCACACGGACCGGACACGGTTCACGGAGCCGCCATGCAAGAGGTCGCCTCGACCCGCGCGCTCTCCGCCCCCCCCTCCGCGCGTGCAGACGTCTAGGCACACGCAAATGGCCACGCCGCCTCGCGCGTCCTCTCACCGTCCTGGCGCCCACGCCTCGATCTTCTTGGGCAGCAGCTGGTTCGACAGGTCCTCTCCGTGGCCTAGGCAGCTGTCGTTGCCCTTGCCCCAGGCAAAGACGGCGTCGGCGGTAGTGGCGAGGCTGTGCCATGCTCCCGATGAAACAGCGACGACGCGCTGGCCAGCTAAGGCCTCGATCTTCTTCGGCAGCAGCTGGCGCTGCTCGTCGCCGTGGCCCAACCGGCCTTGGTCTCCGTAGCCCCAGCTCCAGACAGCGCCGTCGGCGGTGAGGGCGATGCTGTGGTCGGCTCCAGCAGACACAGCAACGACGCGCTGGCCAGCCAAGGCCTCGATCTTCTTTGGATGCAACTGGAGCTGCTCATCGCCGTGGCCCAGCTTGCCAAAGCTTCCACCGCCCCAGCTCCAGAGGGCTCCGTCGGCGGTGATGGCGAGGCTGTGGTAGCATCCCGCCGACACAGCGACCACGCGCCGCCCAGCAAAGGCCTCGATCTTCTTTGGCAGCAGCTGGTGCTGCTGGTTGCCGTGGCCCAACCGGCCTTGGTCTCCGTAGCCCCAGCTCCAGACAGCGCCGTCGGCGGTGAGGGCAAGGCAGCGGGTGCCTCCAGCCGACACAGCGACGACATGCTGGCCAGCAAAGGCCTCGACCTGCTTCGGCAGCAGCTGGTCCTGCGTGTCGCCGTGGCCCAACCGGCCGTAGGCGCCCCAGCCCCAGCTCCAGACGGCTCCTTCGGCGGTGAGGGCGAGGTTGTGGTACAGCCCAGCCGACACAGCGACGACGCGCTGGCCAGCCAACGCCTCGATCTTCTTTGGCTGCCACTCGGCCTGCGCGTCGCCGTGGCCCAACCGACCAAAGCCTTCACAGCCCCAGCTCCAGAGGGCGCCGTCGGCGGAGAGGGCGAGGCTGTGGGTGTCTCCAGCCGACACGCTCACGGCGCGCTCGCCGCCCAGCGGAGGGAGGCGGGTCGGCGTGTTGAGCTGCGTCACGCCCTCGCCGTGGCCGAGTAGTCCCGGCGTCCAGATCTCAGCCTTGCCGCACGACGAGAGCCGCCCCTCGCCGTCCATGAAGAGGCTGTGCTGCCAGCCTGCCGCCGCCCTCGCCGGCGGGTTGGACTCGCACAGCAACGCCGAATAGCACAGCCACCGCACGGCGCACCCCTCGCCCTCTGGCAGCGCCGGCAGCTCGAAGCCGCGCTCCTGCGCCCACAAGCGGATGGCCTCCACCGCGAGAGAGGCGTGGAAGAGCAGCGAGATGGCCGCGACGCGAGCGATGTCGGCGGGGTCGCAGCGAGAGAGGGCGCGCACGATGAGCTCCGTGGGGAGGTCGAGGAGGCGGGCGGGCGGCGGCGTGTCTGGCGATGGCGCGGCGGTGGCGGCGGAGGCGAGGCGGCGCGAGCGGCGCGACGGGGCAGACATCGCGAGAAAAAAGAAAAATTCGCCGCCGGTGAGTTTATGACTGCACTCCAAGTGCTCCAAGTGCTCTTGTCCTAAGGGTGTGGGGGCGCGGAGGACTTGTTGGCGAGCCAAAATGGTGATGTCCGAGGCGCTGCGCTAGGCTCAGAGCGAGTTCGCGCTGCGCTAGGCTCAGACGGCGAGTTCGCGCTAGCCGCTGCGCTAGGCTCACAGACGGAGACGGCGAGTGGGAGTGCGCTGCGATAGCGAGGGAGGGCGAGACGAACGAGTGGTCCCGTACCATGCGGAATCGACCCTATCCAGTGCTTTCAAGTGCTCAAGAAAGAAAAGGACAGACTCAGACAGCTGAGACAGCGGACAGCGGTGCAGATGGACAGGTCTCTCAGGTGACAGGTGTGTGCACGGACACACTCAGACGGACGCAGCAGTGGACCGGGCCGCGTGCTGCCGTGTGCACCGAGCTCCGAGGGGCCGCGTGGTCCGCGCCGCCACGCCGGCCGCGGCCACAAGAGTCGCGAACGCCGGTGCACGCGCCAGAGCCCAGAGGAGCGGCGGCACCCCCGCGTGCGCGGCCTGCGTGCGGCGCGGTGTTCGTCTCTCTTCGCGCAAATCTGGCCGTCTGTACCCAAAAGCAGTATATGACGGCGAGGCGGCGGGGCGGGCGGTAGGGGGGGGGGGGGGAGCCCCCCAGGGGGCAGGCCCCCAGTGGCGGTCCCAAAAACGAACAGTCCCCCCCCGGGGTTTAGGGGGGCGCCCCCCAAAGGGCTACGCCCGGAGTCTGTTGTCCCCCAAGCCCCCCCAACCCGGCCCTAGTCTGCGCAGCCCTTAAGCCAGCCAAAAATTCGGCTCCGGCTCCAGGGGGGGGGGGGGGGGGTGTTAGGGCTGCATGCTGCGGAGCGGACTCCCCCCCAGCTCTCACACACACAACCCGGCGGAGGGTTGCGGCGCTTGAATACATAATACGGATACGTAATGCGTAGTCCATAGCCCTCTCCGGCGGGCTTTCGGCGCTTGATACATAGTACGGATACGTAATGCGTAGTCCATAGCCCTCTCCGGCGGGCTTTCGGCGCTTGATACATAGTACGGATACGTAATGCGTAGTCCATAGCCCTCTCCGGCGGGCTTTCGGCGCTTGATACATAGTACGGATACGTAATGCGTAGTACATAGCCCTCTCCGGCGGGCTTTCGGCGCTTGATACATAATACGGATACGTAATGCGTAGTCCATAGCCCTCTCCGGCGGGCTTTCGGCGCTTGATACATAGTACGGATACGTAATGCGTAGTCCATAGCCCTCTCCGGCGGGCTTTCGGCGCATTGATACATAGTACGGATACGTAATGCGTAGTCCATAGCCCTCTCCGGCGGGCCTTTCGGCGCTTGATACATAGTACGGATACGTAATGCGTAGTACATAGCCCTCTCCGGCGGGCTTTCGGCGCTTGATACATAGTACGGATACGTAATACGTAGTCCATAGCCCTCTCCGGCGGGCTTTCGGCGCTTGATACATAATACGGATACGTAATGCGTAGTCCATAGCCCTCCCACGTGCAGGCGCCGCTGAGTGATGCATAATACGGATACGTAATGCATAGCTCATAGCGCCAATGCGACATCGGCAGCGCTGCACTGTTTGCTGAGACATAAAGGCGAAAACATCGTACGTATTGCATAAGACACGCTATGGACTATGCATTCGCGCGACGTCTGACCCTGCCAATGCATAGGCAGGACACACGGGTGCATATAGGGCCGGTACGTATACATAACAGTACTGCCCACGTCTCCGCGCAAGAGCGCCGAGGTACGGAAATGGAAGCCAGGTGAGTCCGTGAGAGCAAATGGCGTCACGCTCACCGTGGTGGTTCACGCCTCGGACTGACGCACAACAAATCTAGAGATAGAGACGAGAAATGCATCCTCTGACCTCTCTCACATTACGCACAAACCCGAAACCGGTCGCGCGTTCTCGACACAGCACACACACGTATCATGTGCCATTGTACACAAGTGTGCCCCCCCCCCCCCCCCGAAAAACGTACAAGTACACGCTCCCTCTTGCTGGACCGGGGACACACAGTCCGAGGCGCGAGGGCAAGCGTCGTCTACGTCTTGAGGCACACTCCAAGGGGCGTCGCGTAACTGCGTGCGCACCCCGTAAGAGACGCGGAAGCAGCTCCCCTAGATGCCGGGCGGCGCAAAGGCGGGCATGAAGGGGCAACACATCTCGCACATGTCTCCGGAGCTCGACATCGGCCCCTCCGGAGGCACCTCTGGCCACGTCAGCTTGTGCGGCTTCTCGGTGACGGACTCGACGGCGTCGAGGTAGGAGCAGTTGCGGAAGATGGCGGCGAGGTTGAACGACCCCCACTTGGGGAGGCCTGAGGCGGGATACACAGGGCTCGCACGGGTAGGAGTGAGACTCTCCCCGCATCCACATCTCGCCTCTACGTCTCGAGACACATCTCGGCACATACATCTCGGCACTGCTGCTGCTGCTGCTGCTGCTGCTGTTACGTCTTCGGTCCCCGCGGGAGGCCCCGCGATCTCGGCACATCTCGGCTGTATCTCGGGCGGCTGCCCCCACCGTACACCGACATGAACTCAGGGTCCGTGTGGCCGCCCTTGCGAGTCGAGTCCCACGCCGTCATGCCTGTGTCGGGGAGGGCGAGGGGGTGGAGGGGCGGGGGGCGGGTGGAGGGGCGGGGGGCGGGTGGAGGGGCGGGGGGCGGGTGGTGGGCAACCTTAAGTGAGGCGCCTCCCATCTCTCCTGGTGTACGGGTGTGGCGGCTGTCCCGAAGTCTCAAGAGTGGGGGGGATGGGTGGCGGGGGGGGAGGTGGGGGGCTAAGAGTGGTAGACTCCCGCGCCTCGCTCCGCGCGCGTGCCCGGGATGAGGTTGTCCAGGAGGACACCCGCGAGCAGCGAGACGATCATCGTGTTGCTAAAGAAGACCTGGGACACCGAGAGATGTGGCCGAGATGTCGCCGAGTTCTGGCCGAGATGGAGAGCCGAGATGGAGAGCCGAGATGGAGCCGAGATCAGCCGTGATCAAGCCGATGTGGCCGAGATGTCGCCGCCGAGCTGCCGGGCGGCCGCAGTTGCCCGCCTTTGTGTTTTGGGCGTCCGAGCACGGCTCGCCCCACGGGCCGGTGTTGGCAAAGTAGCCGGCGGGCCCGCCCAGCGCGAGGCCTACAAATAACGAAACTCTGTGCTAGGAGACGGGTACGAAGGGGGCTCGGGTCCCCGCCCAGCGAAAGGCCGTTGTAGATGCAGAAGCCGAGGATGAACAGGTTGCGCGACGAGTTGAGGTCGACGTGCTGGAGCTGCGCGAGGCCGCAGGAGCAAATGAGGCCGAACAGGCACATGTAGAGACCGCCCACGAGCCAGCCAGGCATCGCGGCGAACACGGCGCCAAACTTGGGGAAGCAGCCCATGAAGATCATCGTGCACGCGCCCGCTTGCACAACGGCGCGCGAGCCAACCTTGGTGACGCCGAGCGCGCCGATGTTCTCGCCGTACGAGGTGGTGCCGTTGCCGGTGCCGATGAGGCCGCAGAGAATGAGTCCCCACCTACGCGTGCCACAGCCGCAGCTCTGCGGACAAGCTTCAGAAGACCGGCCACAGAGGGCACTGCTAGCACACGAGCCCTTCTCCTGCGAGGCCGCGCGAGATGACGGGACCCGACGGCGGCGGGGCGCCCGCGAGCTGCGCGGCGGCGTAGTAGTCTCCGATCGACTCGACCATCGAGACGAGCATGGCGGCGATCATGGGCAGGATGGCGCACTTGTCGAAGATGGGCGCGCCCCACTGACCCGGGTACGGCCACCTGAACCACTTCGAGTCCTCGATGACCTGGCTCGACGTCTTGCAGATCGCGTAGCGCCCGCCGAGGTAATCGTCGTCCATGCCGCCGGCCGCCTGCGCGATGGCACCGATACCCCACGCCACCATCACGGTCCACAGCACCGGGAAGAGCGCAAAGATCTTGATGCTCGCTCCCCCGATCTTGAGGTTGACGAAGCCGAGGAGCTGCGAGAAGACTACCATGCAGATAATGACCGCCGCGGCATATCCTTCGCAGCCGGGCACGGGCAACGGACGTTGGAAGTTCCCGTTAATGTTTGGGGCAGTATACAGCCCGAGCCCAACCATGCACACGGTCGGGGCGATCGTGAGCGGCGAGATGAAGCGCGTGAGCAGGCCGAGCACGCCCGAGTAGCCAAGAGCAACCTGGATGAAGCCGCACGTCAGGATGGCGCCTTGGATGCGGCGCATCGTCTGCTCGAACTGCTCCTCCGCGCCGATCTCTCCGGAGGCGACCATCGCCCTGACCTGGCCGATGACGGCAAAGGTGGGGCTCAAGAAGGCAAACGAGCCGCCCTGCACGATGGGCAGCCGGTCCCCGATGGTGGTCTGAAGGAGTGTGTTGCAGCCGGAAACGAAGAAGATGGTGCAGATAACCTCGGCCATCTGCGTCGGCGTGCCGCCCATCTCCGGCACGATGAGGAGGGGGATGAGGGCCGTGGCGCCGAGCATGGTGAGGTAGTGCTGCGGCGGAGGCGGGGAATGGTGAGGCGGTACCAGAGGAAGGCGGCTTGCGCGGAGCGGCGGGATACCTGGAATCCGAGGATGACGCCGAGGTAGGCGGGAGGCACGTCACTGACGGTGTACAGCATGCCGCCATTCTTTGCCTGTGAGGAGGAGCAGCAAGCCGCGGCTCGGATCGGCGTCAAGCGGCGGCGGCGGCGGCGGCGGCGGCGTGTGTTGAGCATACGGCGGCCGCCGGTTGACTACGCGAGTGGTGCAGCGTGTGTGTGCGCACCTTCTGTTTGAATGACTTGTCCATGGCGCGCGTGGTAGGCCGCAAGACGACCGAAGGCCTCTGGTACCCCTGCCCTGCTGATGTGGATCAAAATCGAGCGGATCGCCGCCTTTGGCACCCCAAGGTGGGCTGCACCACGCGCTCTACGCGCTCTACCCTGGGGTGCCGGCGCATTTTGGTTGAGTCGGATTGATTGATTGATGGGAAGGCGAAACACAGTCCGACCAACGACTGGGACACCAACGCGGTATGGGTGGACGCTAGACGGGCGATGACGGTCACACAGGAGCGACACACAGAACCACAAGACAAGACACTCAGTCGGATGACAAGAAAGAGAAAAACTCGCCCCGGAAGGACAGTCTCCATACCCCCGCATGGCCGCCAGCTCCGACAACGCCGGCAACGCCAGCTCCGAAGGCCCATCTCTCCGCACAGTCGTCTGCGGCCTCTCCCTGCCGTCGTGCGTCTTCAACTCGTCTAACCCGTTCGCAACCTCACTCGAGGATCTGCAGGCGCTCGACGCCTCCGCCGCCGGCGCCGTCGCCACGCGCACCGCGTGCCCCGGCTTTGTGCACGATGAGGCTACGATGAAGTGGGCCTCGCCTGACGGCGCAAACACGATCAACTGCCTCGGCTACTCGCCGCTCCCGTTCGAGTACTACACGGGCTGCCTGCCGCAGCTCTCCGGCGCCAAGCCCTGCTGGCTCTCCATCTCTGGCAGCGCGGAGGAGGTTGGTGCGATGGTGCGCGAGGCTGCAGCGCTGGCACCGTCCCTGCCAGGCGGCCTCGCGGTGGAGATCAACCTCTCGTGCCCAAACATCGCCGGCAAGCCTCCCCTCGCGTACGACTTTGACGCGCTGCGTGACTACCTCGGCACCGTCTTTGCTGCCGGGCCGCCGCCGCCGACCCTCGCGGTCGGCGTCAAGATGATGCCGAGTTCTTATTAGTAGTAGCATCATCATCACCATCTTCTTCTTCTTCTAGGTCGGCGTCAAGACGACGCCCTATTTCTACGACGCGCAGTACACCGGCGCCGCCGCCGTGCTGAACGGCTGCCCGCACCTGTCCTTTGTCACCGCCATCAACACGGTCGGCAACGGCCTCTACGTCGACGTCGCCACAGAGGCGCCCCTCCTCGCTCCCAGCTGCTACGGCGGGCTGGGCGGCGCCGCGGTGCACGCCGTCGCCCTCGGCAACTCACACCATGAGCTATCAACACCATTAGCTATCATGACTCATAACAGGTGCACGCCATCGCCCTCGGCAACTCACACCATGAGCTATCAACACCATTAGCTATCATGACTCATAACAGGTGCACGCCATCGCCCTCGGCAACTCACACCATGAGCTATCAACACCATTAGCTATCATGACTCATAACAGGTGCACGCCATCGCTCTCGGCAACGTGCGGAGGCTGCGTGCGCTGCTGCGGCCGTCGATCGCCGTCATCGGCTGCGGAGGAGTCGACTCTGGGGAGGCTGCCCTGCCCCTAGAAGCGGAAGACGTACGCGCACTCTTGTGTGTGGGGAGAGGTATCCCCTTACCTTACCTCAGGCTGCCTTCCGCCACCTGCTCTGCGGCGCCTCGGCGGTGATGGTCGCCTCGGCGCTCCTGCACGAGGGCGTGGGCGTCTTCGCGAGGGTCGAGGCAGAGCTGCGCGGCATCATGGCCTCCAAGGGCTACTCCGCCGTCGCAGACTTCCAAGGCGATCTGGGGAGATCTGGGGAGATCTGGGGAGATCTGGGGAGACTCCACCACGCCTCCGCATGCCCCGCCCCTCCTCACGCCCCGCGCCTCTCTCTGTATGCGCCCGCGAGGGTGCCTCCCTATCCCATCTCCCCATCTCTCCCCAGCTCTCCCCAGCTCTCCTCATAGGCAAGCTGAGGGAGCCAGCCGCACCGCAGCAGCGCGCCGCCGCCCCATGCGCCGGCCTCGCGCCCCCTGCCACCAACGGCCGCAGCAGCGTCGGCGGCGGCGGCGGCGGTGGCGGCGGCGGCAGCGGCGGCGGCGGCGGCGGCGGCGGCAGCGGCAGCGGCGCCAACGGCCGCGCGTTCGTCGCGCCGGAACACATTCGAGCTGCCAACGGCGCCGCGGCCGACAAGTTCGCTTCTTTCGCCCAAGTGCCTGTGGTGGACTTTGGCGCCTTCTACTCTGACGACGCGGCGGGACGGGCGACGCTGGCGGCGCAGCTCTTCTCCGCCTTCAAGGAGATCGGCTGATCTCGGCTGATCTCGGCTGATCTCGGCTGATCTCGGCTGATCTCGGCTGATCTCGGCTGATCCTCGGCAGATCTCGGCTGATCTCGGCTGATCTCGGCTGATCTCCGCCCCCAAGGACATCGGCTTCGCCACACTGATCAACCACAACCTCCCTCCGGAGCTCAACGCTCGCGCGTTCGCGCTGTCCGAGGCTTTCTTTGCTCTGCCGGCCGCGCAGAAGGCTGCGTACGGGTGGGAGAGCCCCGAGTCGAATCGAGGCTACCTCGCGCTGGGCAAGGCGCCTCGACGGCGGGCTAATCTCGGCGAATCTCGGGCCGTCTCGCCTAATCTGCGCCAATCCTGCGGCAAGGAGCGCCTCGACGGCGGGCTGCCGGACATCAAGGAGACCTTCGAGATTGGCAACGAGGCGGAGGACCCTAGAAGCTGAATACGTATTCTTGTATCCCAATCAGCGCTCGAGAGGACACGTACTCCGCTGTACTCAGCCGTATCCCGCCGTATTCCCTGTCTTCGCTTCCCTCGTATTCACGCCGTGCTCTGAATACGCTGCACAATACCGTATTCGTGCCCTGAGGTTGGCGTATTCAGCACGTAGGCGGAGGACACTTACCACAACCGCTGGCCCGAGGCGGAGCTGCCCGCCTTCCGCGCCACCATGCTCGAGTACTTTGCGGCGGCGGACGCGCTGCACTTGGACGTGCTCCGCTGCCTCGCCCTCGCGATCTCGGCTAATCTCGGCTGATCTCGGCTGATCTCGGCTATCTCGGCTAGTCTCGGCTCATCTCCGCCCAGCAAGTCCAGGTGCTCCGCTGCCTCGCCCTCGCGATGGGCCTCGACGAGGAGTACTTCACACCGCTCTGCGACGGCAACCACCAGAACCTGCGCCTGCTGCACTACCCGCCCACGCGGCGCGACGCCGTCTCTGCCGCCGGGCA